GCGGTAGCCGAACACAGTCTGCTTCGACGCCCCTTTGGTGACAACAGTAAAACGTAGTTTTGGTCCTCCAGTAAAGCACAAATTTATGAATTATAACTGCAACCAGCCCGGCTGAGGTACAGCACGAGACATACCAATGGATAAAAGCATCCGAATGCAGACAATGACGCTTTCAACAGTTTTTTGCCAGTGAGCAATGATCTACACAACTGCCCCTTCAAAGTGATGCAGCCTATTGCCCTCTAAACCCAATCAAAATTTCACATTACAGGTCAAAAGTGTGAGAGCTGGAGCTGGTGCACTATTTGGCGAACCGTGTACAACTGATGAACAAAAGTGATACGGATCACCACTATTATATCCAACGCAACCGAGCAGAATCGTCGTAGGGGAAACGCAGATACAACGGGAAATACTGCTCGCTTTGAAAATGGAACAGTGATAAGCTTCAATAAGACAGTGAGTGAAAGATTAAGCCACGCAGAGAAACGTGACGCAGAACAATGGGTCTCAAGCGGTCGCTTCTTCGTACTCTGGATTCTTTTTCAACAGCACGAAGCCTTCCAATGGCAACTGTGTAACTGACAGGTATTCGTCTGTTGCAAGTTCGGCTCGTTCGCCATAGGACAATAACACCGGGGTTGTATAAGTTTGGAAACCAGTAATAGTTTTCGGTCTACCAGCCTGCCCAACGACATCCACAGCTTGCCCGACACGAACTGTGACAGGCAACGGTTTTAAGTCCTCGTCAAATGTCATGAGCAACCGTGGCTGGATTGCTGGTGTCAGATAGAATATCAAATAATCGTGCCGACCCATGAATGTTGTGCGCATGTCCAGACAGGAGACCAGCAAGGTGAGCAAACCGGATATGCCAACTGCGCGTGACAAAAAACGCTCTGAATGCCATGGGCTCAGTGTCATTGTGCCTTTGCCTAGGTGAGTCAAACCTTGAGCCAAGCGGACGAGAAACAGGTTGTAGGGATCACGGCTGTGGTATACGGCCAGTTGTCGGAGCATGGCTGCCAATCGAGCGTTGTTTGTGCCTAGAATAAAATGAAAGCATATTCAGGGGATGCAATAAGGTACCATGGATGAGAAAGAAGTATCACCTGGAAGATTGAATAAAAGCCAGAAAAAGTTTGGAAAATTTGGTTGTCTCTTAATATTGCATTGGTCGCAGAGGCTCCAAAAGACAGCTAGGCAAAGGCATCGTAGGTGAAAGAAAACATAGCTGTACACAACGGAGTATCATCACGTGTGGTTAGATATCGCAAGGATCCGGGGAGGATACCCGTCACACGTAATTGGCTGGTTAGATGGTTCGTGCAGCTGAACCTCGGAAGTTACCCCTAACC